CCGGGAAGCTTGAAACTCAGAATGTGCTTAAGGAACTAAACTTTAATAATTCTGAACCTTAGCTATATATAGCTTTAGGATGGTTCTTGGTGTCTCTAGTTTCTTTTGGTCTCCTCCTTCTCCCCACTTTTTTCTTCCTCTTTCCTCCTCGCTCTTCCTATATCCTAGTGTTCAGTCACGGGCCCATCTGTCTGTATCTATTTACCAACTAATCAATCTGTTTATGGAATCTATTTATACAGATTACACAAGACAGGATAAAACGTATTCAAAAGGAGATAGACTCTTCTCCAGGCCCTTCCCTCTGGTGCCTGCCTCCAGTCTGTCCCTAGCCCCCTTGAAGGTCGCAACCGGGCCCTCATTTGCTGCTTCCTGTCTGAGGGAAAAGACTCAGAAGAGATCTCTCCATCTCATTCCTAGGGCTGCTTCAGAAAGCAGAATTTGGAAACAGATAAAAATGTAATTAAAGCTCTCTTTCCTTCCAGAATCCAGCCTCAGATCCAGATCCTTCAGGTCTGTGGCCCGGTGGTGTTGCAATTGTGGATTGATCACCTGCCTGTGAGATCCAGCGGAGATCCAGTGGAGCAGCCCCGGCTCCAGTCTGGGTTTGGCTAGCAGTGGTCACAGCGAACTGGCTCAATCCTTCTAGCTGTTGGATTGCTTGTATAGGGGAAAACGAAACTGCTCGGATTTTCTGGCCTGCTGCAGGCAAACTGCCTGATTGAGCTCACTGTTTTATTTTTGTTTGTTTATTTTTTGTTTGTTTGTTTTTGATCAGACTGTCTAGCTGCCCTTTTCTGACTAAGCCCCTATCCTTGGCTGTGGGCGACCCTCCTTGCTGCAAAGACTTACAGCCTTCTCAGCCTGAAGGCATTCCCTGCGGTGGAAACCCTGGGGAGGGAGCCCAGATTGAAGCATCTAGGGGAAGGAGAGTGAAAATGAAGCTTTTATGAAGATCTCACCTCCTGAGCTCAGAGTTGAGAACTAACCACTGTAACCCCTGATACTTCCAGATCCTCATCTGTTGTGTGTGCCTACTGCATGCCCACTTATTACACATGGTTAACACGGTTAACAACAGCGTCAGTATATGTTTTCTAGTTCAAAACCTGTTTTTCCATGGTTTCAAACTTTCCATTTCAGTAGATTTTCATACCACCATAGTCACTTTTCTTTAAAATCCTTCTTTTCCAAATTGTACAGTGTTGAAAGAAAGACTGTCAACCTAGAATTCAATAAACACACACACACACACTTCACCTAGTGGATAGAAAAGAATGGTGTCCTTTTCTGGTGAAACAAAGGCTTTGTCACCAAGAGACCTTTGTCACATGAAATGTTAAAGGCTGATGGAAATTTGTACCAGAGTGACACTTAGAGTCACATGAATAAAGCCTATACTACAGGAGCAATTATGTGAATATTGAAAGGTAATTCATCTTTCTCAGTGTTCAAAAATTACTGAAAAGATAAAGATACAACTATACTATGGTGCTTATAAAATGTAGAAATAAAAAAAATTGTGATAATTACAGGGGACTGGAACGATGGCTCAGAGCACTGTCTTGACTCAGAGCACAGTCTTATAGAGGACCTGGCTTTGACTCCCAGCACCCACAGGTGGCTCACAGGCCATGGTAACTCCAGTTCCCTGCCTCTGGCCTTGGTGAGCACCTGAGAGGTGCCGGTTTCCTTGGAGTGATGTTTTTGAGCACTGTTTGAGCACTGTGTAAAGACTATTCTTGTATTGTTCAAATGCTAATTTCCATGCTGGCAGAGATATGATTACAGCTGGACTTTGGTATTGTAATTATTATGAAACATATCCAGTCTTCTTTTTTTTTTTCCTTTCCTTTTTTTCCCCCCTTCCCTTCCAGCCCTGCTCGCTCTGGCCCAAAGGTGTATTTATTTACTATATGTAAGTACACTGTATGTAAGTACACTGTACACTGTATCTGTCTTCAGACACCCATCAGATGTCATTACAGATGGTTGTTGTGAGCCACCATATGGTTGCTGGGATTTGAACTCAGGACCTCCAAAAGAGCAGTCAGTGCTCTTAACCACTGAGCCATCTCTCCAGCCCCAATCTTAGCATTTTGTAAACTTTGTTTTCCATCACCTCCTGATTAGTCAGATAAAGATCTGAATGGCCAATAGCTGGGCTGGAGAGTAAAGGTGGGTCTTTTGGGCAAAAAGAAAGGGTCTCAGGTGAGAACCAGAAGCCAGAGCACCAGCCAGACAAGGATGAAGCCAGTGCCAGGACTAGACTAGGGTAGACAAAAGGTCAACCATGTGGTGAGTGAGGGGTTCATTTTTCATATCCCGTTCAGAAACTAAGCTGTGGACCATTAGACTATTTGCTATCTATGCTTCTGCAGTTCTGCAGATGATCTGCCTGACCTAGTTGCTTTAAGGTTGGCTTCCCTAGCATCCAGTTAGCATCTCAAAGTGACACAGCAGGAGGCTAGGTAAAGCCTCTGCAGGGAGTTGTTTTCCCTGTGTTGGGAGAAAAGGGGAAGGGGACATATCTATCCATGACCATGCCCTTTGTTCTCAGTACTTGGAAGACTCTCAGAGCATGTGTTCACAAGGTAAAACAAACAAACAAACAAAAAACAAAACAAAACAAAAAAACCCTCACTGCAGGTCTGCACATTAATCAGGTCATAAATAGAATAAGAGGTTATAACAGAGATTGCCTACCTGCATATACACTAGGAACAATGATCTGGCTTAACGTTGACCATTTGTTACTATGTTGCAGGGTCATGGAAACGTTTTAGATTATAACTAAGCCATCCTTGAAGTTTTGACAAACTCAGTCGATATCTTATATCCTACTTTTGCACCTGGGGTCTTTAGGACCTCCAGTTAATGGCTTCTGTATCCCCTTGGAATGTGCGCTAAGTTTTAGAAGTCTGCTGTTATCTCTGAAGCAATGAAGCAGTCCTGTTATAATGTTTTTGTGAGTGTTGCTATTTGGAAACAATGGTAACTCTTGCATGCTAGATGTTTCTGCAGAATAAACGCTCTTTGTCTTTGCATCTGAGTCTGGGGTCTTCCTTCAGCAATTTTCAGACCCTTACAGTGAGATGTAGAGCAGGCTAGTGTTGTCCGGTTAGAATAACTGAGAATCTGCCCAGCTACAGTGGCCAAAGC